CGGCGGAAGCGCCCGAGCCAGACGTCTTCGACATTTGGGTGTTTTGGCGTGCAAGAAAGAGGCACAGAGCAAATCGATGTTAGAGAGAGAAGGGTAGAGAGAGAAAGATTTGGTCCTGCCACCTAGAAATGTGGTCCTGCCAGGCGCCTGAGTGTCGGGGTCCAGGAGCTGCCACGTGTAGATGCCCGACCGTTGGGCCGTACCAAGCATTTAATGACGCGCTGACGTGGAGCTGAATTCTGGGAGCCTGGTCGGTTCCTCGACGAGTATAAATAGTACTCGGTAGGTAGCATTTAAGCAGGTTGGCTTCTCTCACTAAAATCTCTCTAAACATCTATCTCTCTAGAATCGGCTCTGACTTGAGCGTTGGAGTGCTAACGAGCATCGAGAAGCCCTTTAGGCGCTTGTGGTGCAGGGTCCAGGCGCCCCAAAGATGGTCGCTAGTTGTGGATTGCAAAGAGACGAGGGTAGGGGGTTCGTGGCTCAAACAAAAACTATTAAATAATTCATGTTTAGTAAATAAAAGTTAGTATGCGCTTTCTCCTACGGTTGTAAAAGAATTAAAGAAAGAATAAAAGGGGCAAGAGATCGGCCATAGGCATAGGCGCATAGCCCATATCACTGGAGGCGTAAGACCAAAAACAGGAGTGCGGATCCTGTGACTAAGGGGGGTGCTTAGTCACTTGACTAAGCCCCTCCCAGCCCTTAGATCTGGATATAGCAATCTGATGGTTAAAAAGTGGGAAGGGCTATTTAATTAATGACAGGGGTAGTTTGGGTATTATGGAAAATTACGAAGTATACAAACCGGACTTACAATCAGTACAAACCATACAAACATACGAACAATACAAACTAGAGCGACAAAACATACAAACAGATTTACAAACATATAAACTGTACAAAAAATACAAACTAGACTGACAAACAATACAAACCATACAAAAAGAAAAAACAACCAAGTTGACTTTGGAGGCTCCATCCCTATATAGAGGGGCTCCTTCCCAAAGTCAACCCGGGTGTTTTTTAGACATACAAACATGGTGGACAAAAATGACAAACTAGACCAAAAATTCATACAAACTAGAAAAACACCCGGGTTGACTTTGAAGGCTTCATCCCTATATAGAGGGCTCCGTCTCAAAGTCAACCTGGTTGTTTTTTAGACATACAAACATTACGAACATGGTGGACAAAAATGACAAACTAGACCGACAATCCATACGAACTGGAAAAAACACTCGGGTTGACAATGGAGGCTCCATCCCTATATAGAGGAGTTCCATCCAAAAGTCAACCAGGTTGTTTTTTAGACATAAAAAATATTACAAACATGGTTGACAAAAATGATAAACATGGTGCCCAAAATTAACAAAGTTTACAAACATTACAAAAAAACCGACAAACATTACAAAATAACAAAGCGTACAAACATTACAAAATAAACCTACAAACAATACAAAGCATACTAACCGTACAAAATGTCACTTAAAATGACAAACAATACAAATCGAATCTATACAAACATTACAAAATAGGTCAGCAAACATCACAAATCCAACACTGTCGCCGGGAAATTTTCTCCGGTCATCGGAAAACTCTCTCTCTCTCTCTCTCTGCAACGCAATGGTAATGGGGAAAATGGTAATGTGGAAGCGCGCTCTCTCTCTCTCTGATCGCAGGTTTTCAAGATCTCTCTCTCTCTCTCTCTCTCTCTCTCTCTCTCTCTCTCTCTCTCTCTCTCGGCAACGCAATGGTAATGGGGAAAATGGTAATGTGGAAGCGCTCTCTCTCTCTCTGATCGCAGGTTTTCAAGATCTCTCCTCTTCGTCAGCACTCCACCGCCCAATCCACCAAAACCGCCTCCTCCGCCCTCCACCACGGGCCTCCATCCACATGCGACCTCCAGCATGAAAACCCCAAATGCGAAAACGTCACTGCTCGTCGTCGCCCTCCCCGTCCTGCTCAGCTCCGGCGCCAAATACCCGATCGTCCCCACCACATTGGTCGTTTGCGGGTCGAATCCGTGGTCGTAGAACCGGGCCAGCCCGAAATCCCCCAACCGACCGTTGATCTCTCTCTCTCTCTTTCTCTCTCTCTCTCTCTCTCTCTCTCTCTCTCTCTCTCTCTCTCTCTCTCTCTCTCTCTCTCTCTCTCGGGAGCTTGGAGGGGGAAAATTCCTAGAAACAATGCACGGAAGAATGGAAATGGATTCTCCAATTAATGGATAACGCTGGGATATGGAATCTCGCCGGAAAAGGAGGCCCGCCGTCGGGAATATGGAACCCAGAAAAGAAGGCCCACCGCCGTCGCCGGGAGAGGCTGGTCGCTCACAAATCACGATCAATTTTTTTTTAATTACTAAACAAAAATATAAATAATGTAATTACTATCTTGCCCTTCATTAAATGAGATTAATCAGGACCCTTAAATCTAAATTAAAATGAATTGCTGAGATGCACTTAGTCATGTGACTAAGGGACCCCCTTAGTCACATGATCTTATCCCAAAAACAGCTCATTAGGTATTGGGCCAAGAACATGGTTGTCATGCCGGTGGCATGCCGGCCGGTTGAACCAGGTTCAACCGATACCGGTGGTGAAACCGGCTGGAATGCCACCGATATGATGCTTCAGTCAATTTCGGTCAATTCCGGTCAAAACCGGAAATTCCGGATGGTCCAACCGGTTTCAAATTCCATTTACTTACCATAAACGCTGGCGTTTTGGACTTGCTGTTAAAAAAAATAAAACCCAAATCTTTCCTCCCTTTCGCAAGTTGCCCAAGCCCAATTGGTGGGTTGTTTGTTACTTTGTTATTCCCCAACCAGGCAACCACTACGAGATTGCACACTGTAATCTCAACCAAGTTTGAATTGATAAGCTTTTTCTAATCTCAACCAAGATTGAGTTACTTGGTTAGTTGTTGCTTTGCTCCTGAATTCCACCTATAACTGTAATTGATAATTGGCTAGGCTATATAATTAGCAATAGAATTGGTGTGCTGCATGTTATGAGGTTCATGTTATAGTGACCGCTGGCTTAGTATATTCATAAGATGAAATTTTATTAAAACCGGTATAAACCGGTATGAATTGGTTGTACCACTGGTTGAACCATTTCACTTGTAAAATCGATGTACCGGCATAAACCGGTTTGACAACCTTGGCCAAGAACGAATGAGGCAAGGGGAGCCCTAAACCAACCCCGAAAGGCAGAATCTTCACCCGCCTAACTAATTCTTCCTCTGTAACTTTCTTCCGCTCATCGTATTCTTCGAATACATCGACCTCCTCCCTCCGGGAAAACTGCAGTTGATCATTGCCATCCTCATACGCCGCTTACCGGAGGGTCGAATCGATTCGTCCTTGTTCCCTCTTCCGGCGAACCAGGAAAAGCTCTCAATCAGGTACTGTCTACAGCTCCCGCATGAATGGAGTTGCTTAGTTTACCTATAAAAAAATGGAGTGCTACAGCTGTTTTTTTCTCTTCTTTTAAACGAAATTTAGGTCTTAGTGCGTTTCCAACTTGCTGGGCATTGCGACTAATCTGAAGGATGGAAGCGAATTGGTTTCTCTGTTGGATTCTCTCTTTGATTGGAATGATTAGTTGTTTCTTATAGCCACTCAAATTCTGCTGATTTGACTTTATTGCACTTTTAGATGTGACCCACTTCTCGAATTAGTATATTTCTATGGTAGAATTAGATTGCGCCATAGAATTGCAAGAAAAATGTATCCTTTCACATGTTAACTACTTTTGAGCTTGATTCTAGAGTGAGCTTATCTGAAGTGTCTTCACTTCTCTTCTGCAGTTAAGCGCCTTTAATCCTTTTGGGTGATGATCAAAACCTGAGGTTCGAGAACTCTGATGGTGTGTGCTTATTCTTTTGTTCCTGGTCTGGACCTAAACTCATTGACCAACAGCACAAAGCTCGTGTGGATTACCTTCAGTTCATCAGGCACAGATATTTTCTCCATTGTTCTCAGCAAAATGGCAGAGCTTTTCACTCACACAGCCAGTAGGCAGCTGTCTCAGATGTTTCTGGCTATTCTCTTCTTCCACACATCAGAATACATTCTAGCAGTTTACACGCACGGGAGATCAAAGGTTTCGCTGAGCTCGCTTCTCATCAGCAGAGGCTATCTCGTCGCCATGGTTTTCTCAGTATTGGAGTACGCATTCGAGATATGGCTGTTCCCCGAGCTGAAAGAACATTGGTGGATCAGCAATTTGGGTCTTGTCATGGTTGTGATCGGGGAGATAATAAGGAAGCTCGCCATTATAACTGCTGGAGGAGCGTTTACTCATCTAATCAGAACCCGTCATGAGGAGCAGCACGAGCTGGTTACTCATGGAGTATATGCCTTCGTTCGTCACCCGAGTTATTCAGCTTTCTTGATCTGGTCTGTTGGCACTCAGGTCATGCTGTGCAATCCAGTCTCGATAGTTGGATTTGCTGCTGTTGTATGGCGTTTCTTCTCCAAGCGGATACCATACGAGGAGTACTACTTGAGGAGGTTTTTCGGGTCGGATTATCTAGATTATGCTCGACGGACTCCTTCTGGGGTTCCCTTTGTGAAGTGAAGATCCTATGCGTAGGTTTTTTTGTTCATGTGCAGCACTTCGTGGTGACCTGAAATTAGAGCTTACTCAACAACGGGAGCATGTATTATACTATCGCAGAGCTTAACCAAATGTTTGTGAGTTGCTTAAAATGTAGTACAGTTGAAATTTGCAAGTGGTTACTTTTTACTTCGTTATATAGATGATTGATTGAGTAGAAATTGTTTGTTTTCCATATGAATTGTAGAACATGGTTCAGACATAACTGCCTTTTGACCGCTGCAAAGCATCTGTAGTATAATATGCAATTTCTTCTCTATGCTTACTGTTCAATTGTTTCTAAAGAGCAACTCCAATGAGTTGTTCGGACGGCTGACAAGGCTACAACAATTGCAACCCTTTAACATAATACAACAATAAATTAGACATTACTTGTATCTCAAGTCATATTACAGCCAATAAATTTGAGCCGGAGCCAATTTTCTTAATCGCCAAACTCAATGCCCACAAGCTTCAAGTCTCGATGGCTACTACTGCAATCACTAAACTCTACTGCATCCTCGTCTACCTCTAAATGGACACTAGTGGAGTCGATCGTTACTCTACAAGGCACCCCTAGATCATCATGCTTATCACCGAGGAAAAGATAGCACTTCACGTAAGCCCCATCTTTGGGAGGGAGATTCAGCAGCCTAGATTTTTGGGCAGAGACCTTCCATCTGCTGGAATCACTTGCACACCAATTCTGTTCTTCAAGAGATACTATTAGGCGATGTCGGCGGCCTAAAAGTTCAGCCACGTAATCCATATCACCAGCAGCTAAAGCATGGCGGACCCGAGTGGAAGAGACTTGCCCTTTATCTTTCGAGTCAGTTTTATGAAGTTTTGAGGGATCTTGTGGATGCTTGTCCATGACTGAATTTATGATGTATGCCTGGATTCCATGTTCGTTGCACAGTCGAAGAAGTTCGGATGTGTCACCAGCAGCTTTGTATCCGAAACGATAGTTCTCCCCTGGAATAGGTTTTGCTGTTAAGCTGCTACTAAAGAGATGACGAATGAAATGGGAACCAGTAACAGAGTGATGATTGTACTTTTACCTGCAACTACTCCAGCAACCTCAAGTTCCTTGCATAACTTCTCAACAAACTGGCGGGGAGTGAGATGCCGGACATTTGAGAACTCGACTTGGAACTCTGCTGGGACTACGTTTCCACAGTGAGGAGCCCAGGACGAAAGGACTCTATGCCGATCACACTTTGCAACTATAGGTGGCCTGTGAGGTAATGTTTATATATCAACGTTAACTTAATATCAGTATTACAGTGTGACAAATGCCTTGAGAAAGAAAAGCTCTGTTGGCAAAACGAGGAACACTTGTAATTTTTATGCTGGAATGAAGAATACCTAGGCTCCCAACCAAGTACTTCAGCCATCCCCACAAAGGATAATAGATATGGAACTCCAACCTTGGATGCTTGAATTGCAAGTTCTCTATGACCAATGTGAAGAGCATCAAACTTTCCAAGTGCTACTATTCCTCCTGAAATGATGAGAGGAATGGTGTAAATTATCCAAATTTCAGACCAAACATGAACCTGTCAGAAAGATCGATAGATGTATTCATACCCCAGGACGATTCTACCTGGGTCAGGAAAAGACTCTAAGCCGTTTAAGCTTCCATAGCATGAAATTTCAATAAGACACCTTACAGCAAGGGGCTGCTCATTACAAGGCCGGGATAGAAGTGTTAAAACCCCCCAACTAACTCTAGAATAAAATACACTGGAAGCAACTAAAGCAAATGTATGTTCTGTCAAACTAGCAAATGCATAGCTAAGTAACTAGAAGGCACATCAAATTTGATGGCCAACAAAGGAGAGGCAAGTGGTGGGCGCACACGAACCTGTAATTGAGGACAATCCTTCAGAAAGGTTCTTGCAATCATCTTCTCTATCGCTTTGCACAAATAAAAGTCATCAGCTACATGACCAAACATGGGAAACAAAGCACACGAACAAAAAAAACAACAACACACCACATAAGAGTTACATACATATAAAGACATCAGATCATCGCTCACAAAAAGAAAAAAACAGACATGCAGGGAATGTAATTTTGCAGCAGACTTCCTTGCTGACAATGAAAATAGTCTACATTTTGGCACACATCCGATCGACGTGTGCGATCCAGGACTTAACTACTGGATCCTTTATGATGTAATGAGTACATCCCAAGAACGATCAATTGTTAATACGAGCTAAGACGTCCTAGGTGTCTCCTTTTACCAAAAAAAATAATAATAATAAACATTTAAGAAAAGCCTCAAATCATCACCTACTCGTTATTCATACCCTTTTTCTGAATCCCAACCCATCTTTCACAAAGGACCAAACTGAGACTTCAGAAAATAGATAAATATGGGAGGGGCAAAGAGTGTCACCTGAAACAATCAGATAGAATGGGGGTTTCACCAGGAGACTTCGACCGGAGGCTTGAGAAACACAAGGTTCGAGGCTGCATTGCACGATGGTACCGACGGCCTCCAACTACAGCGGTGGATTCAGGTTTGAATATCAGGGAAGAGAGCTGAACAATCCTAGAGCTGCAAAACCCCAACCCAACTGCAAGTGCTTGTTGAGGATCCCTATAGTACTGGTGCCGGTGGTTACACTCTCGTAAGTGGTGCGAAATACGAGAGCCACCACCCACCAACATGATCAAAACCCCCCTTTTCCTTCGCTTCCCACACTCTTCACTACTTCATCAACTGCTTGATCCAAACTCTCACCAGAGGTTTCAGCAAAGCTCAATGTCTGCTGCAGGTCAAAAGAAAGCGCCTTTTGTGATCAATTTCAATCCCCAAGGTCTCAAATTGGGAATCCGGTTCGTCAATTTACTTTCTTAATCTCCCATCAAAATTCTCCCTCCCCAAATGGAGCAAAAAAAGTTTCAGAAATTTTACCGGTTTGAAGTTATTAAGGACAATAACAAACGAATACTCTAGAATGACGCACGAATAGAAATCCGAAGAAGTACGACGATGAGGTGAAAAAAAGCAATAGAAACCTTGCCAAATTACTTGCGAAGGAGAAGAGCGGGTAAATATATTCTGGTTGAGCATTGGCAAGCCGGACTCAGGCTCTTCTTCTCTTCGATGCACTGAGGGGAAAGGGTGGAGGTAAGGGAGAATAGAAGGAGGCGGCGCCGGAGAAGCAAGTCCGTCCGATCGTGGCCGGAGAAATGGCAGATAAGGGAAGCTTGGCCGAACGGAGAACACGAACTAGACCAGCAGCAGCCGTGAGTCCGTGACTTGGGGTGACTACTTTGGGCGTTGTCAGTGTCATGACTTACGAGTCAAGAGTAGGGATGGCAATCAAACCCATGGCCGTGGGTATCCGACCGCCCCCGACCCAGTCAATGCGGGGAATTCCCGCTTTGACCGGGTATGGGGCGGGTATGGGTAAAACCCGCAAAAAGTTTGATGGGTATGGGGCAGGGAGGCTAAAACCATGGCCGTGGGTAAAACCATACCCGCCCCATACCCATCCTCATACCCGCCCCATCAAGATAATTTCTTCATATATAAAAAAAATATGTGCATCAAATTATAATCTATCGATGATGAGGATAACTTGAGAAAAATAAATAGTAGAAATGCAATTGATTGACCACCTTAATCAAAATCTAATTCATTTCTCTCAATCCTCATTTCACTCTTTCACTTTCCCCCTTGTCAACAAAATTATGTTAGTTAATTATTACTTAGTAGATGTATCAGAGTTAGAACATAAAAATTTGAAAAATATTATACTCTATATTATGTATTAATGGATATTTTAGGATCATAATCTTTGAACCATATTAAAAAAATGACCGTGTTTTATTGACTTCATGATATAATATGTTCGTTTAGAATTATAATTAGAACTTTTCTTGTAAGTTTAAGGTATAATAATGTTGGATGTACGGGTAAGGGTATTACCCATGGGTACCCGAAACCCACAGGTATGGGGATGGGTTTGCAAAACATTCCCCCGCATGGGTATGGGGCGGGTATGGGTTTGGGTATTTGAAGATGGGTATGGGGATGGTTTAAGCAAACCCGCCCCAAACCCGCCCCATTGCCATCCCTAGTCAAGAGGAGCCTACGCAAGAATTAGGGCTACAAATGAGCCGAGCTGTTCGCGAGCGGTTCGGCGTTCGACTCGAGAAAAGTTCGTTCGAAACTCGGCTCGTTAATAAACGAGCCGAACATGAGCTGAGCTTTGTTCAGCTCGTGAAGCTCGCGAGCTAGCTCGACTCGGTGGCTTGTTGAACTAAACTCGTAAGCTGGCTCGTTTAGAGCTCATGATATGTCTCAACATGTGGCTAGAGAGCCAACTCGATTACCGACTTATGGATGAATCAATCTATATCTTATGATTTTAATTCATATGGTTGTTAAATTATATATCTCACCATATATAAAGTTTAACACGTTGAGTATGTGAGCAAATATATCTTATTTTCTACTTTAAAAAGAAATTATGTATCTTAGATTGCTTCGATACTATGAAATAACATGATTTTGAGTAGTTAAAATTTATTAACTAAATGATATATGATACCAACAAAGTATAATATGAATTTATCTAACATAATAAATCATATGTATCATGATATACAAAATGAAATACCAAATAAAAATCAAAATTTTAGTAAACAAGCTACCTCGAGTTCGATTTGACTCGGCTCGTTAATAAACGAGCTGAGCTCGAACTCGACTCGTTTATTAACGAGCCAAGCTCAAATTGGGCAAAACTCGACTCGACTCGGCTCATTTGCAGCCCTAGCAAGAATACTAATTGGGCCTGTTTAGCACGTCACAGCCCAATAGGCTCCCTTTCACACCAAGTTCAACTACTCTTGCCATCGAGCCCAGCCTGCTTACCAACAAGGAGCGGATACTATAACAACACCCATAGTGTTGTTATAGTAACAGCAGGGTAAAAGGGTCAATTAACAAAATATAACAAAAATAAAAATTGAATTAAAATCTTAATTTGGACGAATCAACAAATCCTGCTTCCCCGCTCTCCTCTTTCCCCAACATCGACGACTTCGCCCATCCTCCAACCACCGTCCTCGTAGCCGCCTCCGTAGCAATTCTCCCCCGTCGCCGACAGCCCGGGCATGGGTATGACCATGCTCATGGAGACGGCGTCACCCGTGGTGAATCTGGCGGCGGGCGAGCCGTCTTTGGTTTTCCCGGCGTAGGCGTCGTAGAAGCCGTGCTCGATCAGGATTGCCTTTCCCCGGTAGAATCTTCCGGTGTCGTTCTCAACTCTATCCAGTGATCGGCCGCCGCCACCGGAAACACAACTACAGACTGCGATTCCGGAGCTCCAGATCCTTCTCCTCCGATTGCAGCCCGATCTCACATCGTCTCTCCCAGCGCCTCAATTTACCTACTATTTAGATCAATTTCACCAGAGGTCTCGGGATTGTCGGCGTGGAAACCGGGGACTGCGACGAGGATGAGAATGGCGTGGCAGCTGATGACGGCGATGATGACGTGTACGGAGACGAAACAAAATGATTGTAATTATCTGACGGCGGCAACGGGAGAGGATTTGGGTGTTCGGGAGCGGAGAATGTGGCGGCGGTGGCGGCGGCGGCGGCTCTTTGGATGGACTTGGGGGACATGGGTGGGTTGGTGAAGGTGTTGTGGTGGTGGTGGGAGTAGGAGGAGATGGGGAAGTTGAGATTTGGTGCGGCGGAGGCGGAGCCCTTGAGGCACAAGAGCGCGGCGTCGTAGGCTCTGGCGGCGGCTTCGGCGGTGGAATAGGAGAAAGACAGAGAGTTTAATTTACCTTCGTCTTCTCTTCTTATTGCTTTGTCAGTGAAAATGAAAAGCCAATTACATATGTTTTCCTTATTGCATCTTAATAATTTTTGCAAATGAACTCATTTTAATTTCACTGCGGAAACGAGCAATTCTACTATGCTATATAGTATTGGTGCTTTAATGTACAACTTGAAGTTGTACCATAACATTAAATGTACAAGTTTAGGTTGTACCATAAAGGAATTTGTATCATTATGTTATGGTACAACTTTACAACTTGAAATTGTACCATCACATAAGGTACAAGTTTAAGTTGTACCATAAAAGAATTTGTACAAAAAGTATAGGTACAATCTGAAGTTGTACCATAACATTAAAGGTACATTTTCAAGTTGTACCATAAAGGTAAAAACCTATAGCACCAATGCTATATAGCATTGTAAAATTCCTCCTGCGGAAACACCAATCTAGGTCTCTTGTAATTGCAATTAGTGAGTCAAAGTCAATTTTATAATTTCCTTAATGCTAACCACAAATATTTTGAAACAAACCACATATACCACAAAACATACCATAAATATTTCATAAACACACCATAAACTTTTTAATGCAAACCAGAAACATAAAAAAAGCAAACCATAAACGTCCTAATGCAGACCACAAATCTCCTAAAATAAACCACAAACCTCACAAAGCGAACCACAACATTTGCGAAAGCGTACCAGAAACCTCCCAATCCATACCACAAATCCCCTAAAACAAACCAAAACCCCCACAAAGCATACCACAAATATTCCGAAAGCACACCAGAAACCTCATAATGCAAACCACAAACACGGTAAAACAAACCACAAACCTCCTAATGCAGACCACAAATATATTAAAACAAACCAGAAACCCCACAATTCAAACCATAAAATTTTCGAAAGCAAACCATAAACTTCTTAATGCAAACCAGAAACACAATAAAGAAAACCAGAAACCTCCGAATGCATACCACAAATCTCCTAAAACAAACCACGAACCTCATAAAGCAAACCACAACATTTGCGAAGCACACCAGAAACCTCCTAATGCAAACCACAAACACAGTAAATCAAACCACAAAAAAAGCAAACCATAAACGTCCTAATGCAGACCACAAATATATTAAAACAAACCAGAAACCCCTCAATGCAAACCACAAAATTTTTGAAAGCAAACCATAAACTTCTCAATGCAAACCACAAACACGATAAAGCAAACCATAAAAGGCATACGAAAATATGAGAAACCAAACCATAAATCTCACAATGTAGACCATACATCCGGTGGTCATTGACAGTTGACCGGTCAACGAAGACCGTTGATCGGTCAACGAAGTTCGTTGACCAAACTCCGATGACCGTCAGTGACTGGATTCCGGCGCCGATAGACATATTCCAGCCCCGATGACTAGATTCCGACGCCGGTAAGCATATTCCGACCACGGTGAGCATATTCCGACCACGGTGGCATATTCCGATGACAAAATAGCATATTCCAGCGACAAAAAAGCATATTCCGGTGACCGGCGACCATTTTCCAGCGACCGGTGACCGAATTCCGACGACCAATTTTTTGGGCAGAAAATAAAAAAATAATTTTTTTATTATTTAAACAGATTTTTCATAATGACAATTATACCCCTGCTTTGATTTTACACTAGGTCAACTCATCTAATAAAAAGTCATCACAATCCTAGCTTCCTATTGGTTGGAGACTAGTGTTGTTACAATAACAACACAAAGGGTGTTGTTATATTAACCGGTCCCTTACCAATACACCCTAAAATACATGTAGGGTGCATATAATACATCATTGTGATTAACAAAGAATTTAAATATTATAAAAACAATTAATATTTTTAAACATTATAAGGGATTTTTAAAAATATTTGATATAGTATTTAAGAATCGGAGATTAATGTCTACAAACTAATTATAACCATCTACAGATGATAGTGATGTATACAATACACCCAAAATTCAGACATGTATCCTAAACGTGCCTCCTTCTTATGAAGAAGATGATAATTTTTGATAAATTATGAGCTTGAGTATCATTATTTAATTAGTGTTTAATTATTATTTAGGACTTCTGGTTTATTGTTCGTTGTTTTAGTTGGTTTAGGTTAGTTTTTTTTAGTTATTGTTAGGAGTTGTTATTTGTGTACTTGTGTGAATAGTCCTCATTAGTTCAAGTGAGCAAATCGCATCAAAGATCTGTCATGTAACTGAGTTTTTACTTTTTACTGTTTTATGCCGCTTTAGAAAAGGAACAGTTGCTTCATCAGTCAATTATTTATTATTTTGTGAGACAATGTACAAGTGAGTGTAGGATTAGTTTTTGATTGTCGATAATAAAACTGTAAACATCACAAAAAAGGTAGAAGTCACAGAAGACAAAACAATAGAACATCATGATCTAAAAAATTTGGCGAATGCTGATGACCAAAAATCCAAAAGAATATCTACACAAACAATATAGTTTTATGGGGATTGGATAGCGTCACAATCCCTAAGAGGGTTGTGAGTTTCACTTCCCAGGTTAGAGCCCTCCATTCCGCTTCCTCTCAATCCAGCGGTCTAGATTCGTCAGGGGCGATTTTGGTACCAGCCACACTAGATCTCACACCCCCTCTCTCATCACCCTACATAATTGATGTTTCAAAAAGGAAATAATTTTTTGAGAGAGAAATAATTGTCTTTCCTTTCTTTCCCTACCCGTTTGTCTCCCAAAAAAAAACCTCTGTACATCTCCACCGGTTCTAAACTGTTTCTTGTTCATCTTCGATCAAATCCTTTGCTGGAGATTCCCTTCTGACATCGTCCCCCCTTCTGTCTTGGTGAATCTACGTGTGCATCAAAACTTAAGGTATATGAAATCCCTACGTATTCCCTTCTTCTTTCCATTTGATTTCCGCTTCGTCTTCT